GATAAGAGTAGGCTTCGGCCGCCACCCGGGCAAAATTCAAAATTTCCTACCAACTGAAAATATTAGGTGTGTCCCGCGCGCTCATATGACCTATGCAGTTGCGAGCGCCGTAAAAACACTCTACTATTTAAAAAAAAAAAAAGATATCATTACCAAATCAAGTGCACGTCTAATCTCTCTGTAGTCGACAGACATCATTAATGGGGAAAATCGTTGAAGTTATTTTGCACCTTTTTCACTAATCGTATAACGCAAAACTCGCGTCCATAGTATTCATTTGGCCTGGATGACTCACTCACGAAAGTGCATGTGCACGTGACGACACGGCAACAGTCTCTTCTACTTATAGTAGTATTATACCAGAGAGTTTATACACTTTTATTTCAAATATATAGTGCAACCTGGGAGTCTGTATAAGTATAAGCCAAAGAGGGCATCTTTCATATAACCAGCTTACGCCAAATCCTCCGAATCTTCTGGCCCGACAAGATTTCCAACGCAGATCTGTTACGAAAATGTAGTCAAGAGGACATGACCACTATAATTAAAAAGAGAAGATGGATCGGACACGTTCTGAGAAGAGAACCAGACTCTATTGTGAAGACTGCCCTCCACTGGACACCCGACGGACGTCGCAAGAGGGGCAGACCCAAAGTGACCTGGAGACACACAGTGGCAGTGGGTAGTGACGGGCTCACGGGCTTGAGCCCCTACCCCCTCCCCACCCACCACCCCCAACTCTATCCCAAAGTAAAGGAAAGTTTCTCCATAACGAAATGAGCAGTTGAAACTGTTATGACCACACGCAGTGAACACAGAGTGGTCAACTTGGCGGCTTGCTCGCTTATCCAATCACTGTTGTCGCCGCTTACAACTATAGTAACCCAGCAGCCAATCAAATGTCTTTAGGGCTCAGCAAGGGATGAGCCCTTTCTCACGGCCCGTCCTTAATGAAACTCTTCTTGTAAAAAGGTAGAAGACTGGGAAAAAAATAACACTGTATCGAGGGCTTACACTCTCCTAGCCCTGACAATGGGGTGAAAGTTTACGACACACTTTCCCCCACTGACACAGATACCTATGCGCTCATTGGTTCTTTGTTGGGTGCGTTCAACTTTCCGCAACTACACGGCCTGATCCAGCTCATAGAAGTAATTATTATGTTTGAAGTGCTGTGTGTGCATGTTTGTGTTTGTGACGCTTCGATTTAACAGTTATAAATGAGGCCGAACTACTTTTAAGGCAACTTTTTCATCACATGAAAATTAATTAGAGGAAATTTGGAGGTGAATCGGTTTCGTCCCCACCATCAACAAGAATTAAACTAAGAACAAAGAGATGGAAAACAAAAGTAACTCTTCTCCTTTAAATGGCTCTCTAAATGCCGTGGCTCACCGTGACTATAGAAAATTCATCACTGTTTAGTTCTTATAGCTTGCTATTTGGTGATAAAGAACTGGAAGCAACCTAAGCCCCACCCAAATTTTGGTCCACCCACCGCCACTGCACACAGTAAAGTCTGAAATGAAGCCCTGGAACCATTCGTGGGGAACGCTCACCAAGATGGTCCAAAGCAGACAGAGCTGGAGATCCTTTGTTGCCCTAAACGCCAGATGGCGAAACCGGTAGTAAGTAAGTAAAGAGGGTATAAGCTGATCTCTGGTGCGACGGTGCGAATGCTGGCGACAGAGTGCGCATGTTGATTTCTTGTACATGTACTCTACTCAATACGTATAACAACGGTAATAATGATAATTCAGTACCATGCAGGGAGCTGTTTTGGCGTAACTCTGTCAGTGAAATAAGTCATTATATCATTTCACCAGTGAAATATACACTTTTGTTATACGGTGAGTTTGGTGCGCGGAGTAATACTGTATGCAATGTACAGCTGATATTTCACGCGTGAGATCTCAAGTTTATATTTCATATTATTATGGCTGAGTTGTCAGAAATTATTCTTATGAAAGTGGGGCGTTGAACACCACCAGTAATAAAACAACAACAACAACAACAACAACAACAACAACAGCAGCAGCAGCAGCAGCAACAACAACAAAAACAACAACAACAACACCAAATTGAACATTATTCCCAATTATTACAAAAAGAAAATATTACTGAAAAACGTTTAGTGTGTCCCGCGCGCTCATAATAATGACCGTATGCAGTTAGGAGCGCCGTAAAACACAAACACACGCACACACACACACACACACACACACACACACACACACACACACACACACGTACACACTCAAAAGAACATATTTTAGTAAACTATCTATGGGGGACGCAAAGAAGAAAGACAATGCACATAATCATTATTATCAAGTCTTTGTTTTATTTGAAT